CAGCACCACATAAGCAGAAAAAAGCCAGAAGTAGCACTGTGGCTCAAGTGGTAGGGCACTAGCCTTGAGCTGAAGAGCTGAGGGACAGCGCCCAGGCCCAGAGTTCAGCCCCCCACTACTGACCCAAAAAAAAAAGATCAAAGGTCTCAGGTCCACCTATAAAAATATTTCCTTGAACTCCCTCCAAACTAGTATGGTTATTGCCAATAAACATGGCTTTAGTGAACAATGTTTCCAATTCCTTCCTCAGACCCTTCCATTAGCAATAAGGCTTTGATGATAATTTAAAATATCTCTCTTCACAAAACAGGAAACTAAAGCACATAACAAAAATGGACGGATGGTGCTAAGAGTCAAGCAAGCTCAAGTTGACCAACTAAATTTGATTTCTACACAAAGTACAGGTGCTACACTATCATAGATGCTGGTAATCTCAGGTTTTCTTTGTGAGTTTCTAGCAGCTTTCAAAATACTGGAAACCCACATTGTTCTACTACAATTTAAAACCAACAAAAGCAATGTTGAATTAAAATCCCTTTATCCAACTACTTAAAGATAATTTAAAAAACAAAAATTAGTCTTAAAAAAACATAGTCAAAGGTAGCGTCACACACCTATAATCCCAGCACTCAGGAGGCTGGGGCAAGAGGATCACAAGTTCCAGGCCAACTTGCACCACACTGCAAATTCCAGGCCAGCATGGGCTGCATAGCAAGACCCTGTCTTGTTGGGGGGGAAAAAAGGCCGTGCACTGGTGTTTCACACCTGTAATCCTAGCTACTCAGGAGGCTTAGATCTGAGGATTGTAGTTTGAAGCCAGCTCAGGTAGGAAAGTCTGTGAGAGTAACTACCTAAAAACCAGAACTGCAGCTCAAAATGGTAGAGCAAAAATCTCAGGGAGAAGAAGGGGTAGGGAGAGGACAGGGGATGGGTCCGGGAGGGGGGGTTGCTGGTGGCTCATGCCTATAATACTAGCTACTCAGGAGGCTAGATCTGAGGATCACAGTTGGAAGCAAATAGAGCTGTGGCTCAAAGTGGTAGAGCATAAAGTGTGAAAAGAGCTCAGGGACAGCAGTGAGCCCAGTTCAAGAACCTCGACAAAAAAAAAAAATCTCAAGGACAGGGCCCAGGCCCTGAGTTTAAGACCCACAAGCAACAACAACAACAATAACAACAACAACAAAAGAACAAAAGTTTAGCTGTGGTTATTACAATCTTTCTAGACACTCCCTAGTATAAATTTAGTATCAACCTAACCAGTTTTTTTATGCATGCTGATGTGCATACATATCTATGTATGTATGTATGTTATATACAAATGTTCCATCATCAAAATACTTTACTAAAAAAAAAAATTTTTTTTTTTGGGTCCGGTCATGGGGCCTCAACTCTGGGCCTGGGCGCTGTCCCTCAGCTCTTCAGCTCAAGGCTAACGCTCTACCACTTGAGCCACAGCGCCACTTCTGGCTGTTTTCTTTTTGCTTATGTGGTGCTGAGGAATCGAATCCAGGGCCTCATGCATGCAAGGCAAGCGCTCTACTGCTGAGACACCTTCCCAGCCCTAAAGAAAATATTTTATTCTTCAAATAGTATTCCTTATATCAAAAACTGAACTACAATATGAGAGCAGAATCTGCTCAGGCTAAGAAAAAAGACAAAAAGAAAAGGGAAGCAAGGCAGGAGACTCACCGAGGTATGAGACCAGTAAGAGTAGTCAAAGCTGAAGGACTTTGGTGCTTCCTTTGGGTTCTTTGGATTAATAATACCTAGAAAATGAAACAACAAAAACCACTTAGTTCTATTAAACCAGCTCTTTACCTAAACATAGTGTTCCATTGCCTCTTCAAAACATCCAAATCAACATATACTACTGACAATAAAAAAACATACCAGCCGGGTTGCCGGTAGCTCGCACCTAAATCCTAGCTACTCAGAAGACTGATATCTAAGGATCACCGTTCAAAGCCAGCCTGGGCAGGCAAGTCAGTGAGACTCTTATCTCCAATTAACCACCTGAAAACTGGAAATGGCACTGTG